CTTGGTAAGACCTCGTCTCTACAATAAATAAAAAAAATTAGCCAGGCGTGGTGGTGCATGCCTGTAGTTCTAGCTACTTGGAAGGCTGAGGCAGAAGGGTCATCTGAGCCCAGCAGGTCAAGGCTGCAGTGGCCATGAGTGTGCCACTGCACTCCAGCCTGGGTGACAAAGTGAGACACCAACTCAAAAAAAAAAAAAAGTCAAGCTCTTTCTTGCTTCAGCACCTTTGCATATCTTTCATTCTGTTTAGAATGTTCGTATCCTCTCTCGCATGGTTAAATCATGCTCATCTTTTAGGCATCAATTTAAATGTCAACTCCTCAGAAAGGCCTTCCCAGACTAACCTAACTCAGTTTCCCTGTTATTCTCAAGTCCACCCATAAAAGGCAAGTTCCATCGGAACAGGAATCTACCTTGTTCACCATTGTATCCTTGTACCTAGTAGCACAGAGGAAGGGAAGCACTTAAAAACTATCTGCAGAAGGAATAATTACTCAGTGTTCTATGATCCAGTCTTATAAGGTCGGGAAAGGCTTCCTGATTTAAAAGGCTTTGCAAACTGAGTAAGAATTAGCCAGGTCAGGAATAAGGTTAGAAGAGGTCTGGAGGTGAGTGGGAATATGGTGCATGTGAGGAATTCAAATGACATTCTGTATGGCTGGAGTGGTGAAAAACCACTCAGCTAGAGAGGCAAGCAAAAAGCTAGACAAGAAGGAGCCTGGACGCAGTGTTAAAGCAGTTAGGCTTAAACCTGAGGACAAATAGGAGTGGCTGAAAGGTTTTAAATGAGGAATGCTTTGGTCAAGTTTGAATTTTATCAGCTTGGCAATGTGGAGACTGGATTGGAAAATAGCAAGACTGAAAGGAGAACCTGGGAGGCTACTGTCACAGCTATGCAGCAGTCATGGCTTGAACCAAAGTTATGTCAGTGAAATTAGAAATAAGTGAGCAGATTTAAGATACTCAACAGGCAGGTATGACAGGCCGGATGCAGAGATAAGGGAAGAATCTAAAAAACTTTCAAGTTCTGGTTTGAACACATGGCTCGGTTAAGCATTTTTCACTTTACGTCGTCAAAGTCGCTTGGAAAAGAAAGATCTCTTTTTTGCACGTAGTAGCCTAAATACGTATTTGCATGTCACAGAAGCGAGAGTCGCTCCTTTTCCTCTCTATATTTCCGATTCTAAAAGTTTGCTCCGTGTTCAGCTTGATGGCACAGTAAGTGATCAATAAACCTTCGCTGAGTGATGAAAACAATACCGAATCTAAAGATCACTGACCCTTTTACTCTTTTACCCTCATGGCCGCCATTTTACAGAGAATGAATTGCGAAAACAAGTGCAGGGCTCTGAGTCTCACTCATGAAGTTAAGAGCCTCCTTACCTTAGGAGTCTCCGGTCCTTGTGCTTCCCGAGAACTTCTTTGCCTAGCTCCTCACCTGAGGCAGAGGACCCGGGGTCAGACCAGCCAACGCTCAGTAACGCAGACCCGCCAGACTCAGTTGCTTGCCAAGAGCCCCCTAATCGAATCTCCCGCGTCCCTTTCCGCCGGAAGTGACGCTTCGGCCGTTGTTACTCGGAGCCAATCAGAAGAAAGCACCGCAGAGGGCGGAGCTTGGCCGCGAAATCCTGCGAGTATTTGGGAACGACCATTTTTGTTTAACTAGGGGTAGAGATGGGGCTTGAGGCATGTGACTGGTGGAGCAGTAGTTCATTCTGTAAAGTTGGTTTTGGGACGGCGCTGAGCCACTGGGCGTAGGGATCCCGGGAGGGTGTGGAAGCGAGTGGGCGCGCCCCTCCGGCTGGGTCCTGGCGGGGTGACTGAAGGAGGGAGTGGAAACTGGGTGAAGAGCGATCCGGGAAGGCAGGAGGGGGCGCTCTCCTAAGTGGGTAGCTCGACCCCGGGCGGAGAAGGGAGACAGGGCCTGGAGTGGGTTATCGGGTGCCGGAGAAGAAACTAGGTGTAACCCAGAAGAAGGGATCGGGACCCAGCGGGACACGGGGCGATATGGACCCGAGCTACCTCCGTAAGGGATGAATTGGGCGGACAACACCGGTTTAACGTGATCCTAGAACAGAGTACCGTAGGGGGTGGCTAGGCTGGCATGATGGAAGTGGGGTGCAAGTAGCTCAGTCTTTGGGGGTTGAGACCCCGCGGTCTGCAAAGCCGTGTTCCTCATCCTACTATCTAAGCAACCTAGTGCAAGTTCCTGCGTCTCTCTAAGCCTAGGTTTCCTCGCCTATAAGTGGGAATAACAATCATACACCACGCACAAGATTCCTGAGTTAGATTAGATGATGTGTGCCATCATGCCTGGCGTTTACTGAACCGTCAATTGCTATGGTAGCCATTACTACCATTATGTGATATTTGCGGAGGTCAGGAGGTGTCGCCATGGAATTGAGGCAGCCAGGGCAGGGATTGGTGGTGATGATAGAGGGTGACCTGGAAGAGAGGTAGGCTTGGAGGACGCTAATACATAAGAATGAGATACCACGATGAGGTAGAGGATGCCCTGGTATGGTAAGAGAAGACTTGGGGTATGACAATGAAGGTGGGATCTAAGGAGCGGATGGCACGAGAGAAAACTGGAGTAGAGGCAGTGTCCTCGGGGGTGGGGGCGGCGTGGCTGTTGTGACTCGGTTTGGGCGGGGTCGCTGAGGAGCTGACTGGCTTTAGGTTTCCTTGGGGAGGAGACGTTTTGAGGTGGGCGGAGCTGCGGGCTGGGCCCGGCTCAGGCTGTGCGCTTTTGCCAGCCTCCCTCCTTCCCTCCAACCAGCGCTGCAGCCGCCAGCCTGAGCCATGGGCCGCCGAGCCCTTCTGCTTGTGCTCCTGGCTTTCCTGGAGCCCGGGACCATCCTAGCCCTTCGGCCGGCCTTAAGGGCCCTCGGCAGCCTGCACTTGCTACCCAGCCCCACATCTCACCCCGCTATAGACAAGAACTACTCGGTTCTCTACTTCCAACAGAAGGTAAGGGGGAGAGGGAGCTTCGCGGTACCTGGCCCAACCGCCGGTAGCCCCACCCGGCAGAACCCGGGCACCCGAGCCCACCCCGAAATTCAGACTCCCAATGCCTAGGACCTGTCGGTCTTTGGTTCACACTTTCCAGAGAGTAGCCCCAAGTCTCAGTTGTGTTTAAAATTTCTCCTCCCACTACCAATAATTTGATATTAGCTCCATACTCTTGATTCAGGCTCTCCAGTAATTGACCACAACAGTAGCTTCAACTGCTCCTGCTCCCAGAGGATGCCTGATACAAACACCCCTGACCTTTCTCCAAATTCAGATAAGTGCCAACTCTGGCCCCTAGTCCAAGGTGTTATTCTTTACCCAAGGCAGCTCCTAAATACAAATTCTAGTATCTTTACCTATTAGATAATATTGAATCTTTATCCAACCTACAAACTCTCCTGTCATCAAAGGATCCACTCAAAGTTGATTTTGTAGTCCTATTACTAAGAATTTTTGACAGCCCTTATTCCCCATAAGGCTGAACATATATGGCCTCTGCTTGTAAAGGAAGTTGTAGGAGTGTGTTAAAATTTGGAGTGCTGGGGATTAGCCTCCCTATGGCCAGTAACATGAGTTTAGAGATCAAAAATAGGCTTGATGCCTTTGTGCTTGGCTGCAGCGTGGGACATTTTCTCACGCTGGAATGAAAAAGTATATCATGTATGAAATGACAAGGGTCCCTTACAAGTTCTGCATTTCTGGAAGCCTGTCTAAAGATAGGCAAAAATTTGGAAAAGTTTAGGATTAGAAAGAGTACAAGAGTCTGAAGCTGTGCTTTAGGAGTCAGAACAGGATTCCACCCTGCTAGCTCTGTGACCTCTCTTAGGTGGTTTTTGATCTCTTTGGGATTGTGGTGATGCATAAATTAAAGCAGATGATATGTCCCTAGCTGAGTATCTGGCCTCAGGTAGGCACTTATTAAATGCATGGGTACAGACCCAGGTGAATTTTGAATAGAAATTTGGGATAGAGGGATGTCATGAACTTCTAGAATAATTTGTAAGAAATAATTTTTTTTGAGTCAGAGTCTCAATTTGTCACCCAGACTGGATCCAGTGGCACAGTCACCACTCACCACAGCCTTGACCTCCTGGGTTCAGGTGATCCTTCCTCCTCAGCCTCTTCAGTAGCTGGAACTACAGGAGGGTGAACACCAAAAAAGTTTTTTTGTAGTAAAAACAGGGTCTCGCTATGTTGCCTAGGCTGGTCTTGAGCTCCTGATCTCAAATAATCCTCTTGCCTGAGCCTCCCATAGTGCTGGGATTACAGGCATGAGCCACCATGCCTGGCTGAGAAATAATTTTTAACTCATAAATTTGAATTTACAAGAAAGACAAAGCATTTTCTTTTCTTTTTTTATATTTTATTTTAAAGATGTGGGGTACAATTCAGGATTAGGCCTACAAGTGGACAATGTACAGGTGACAAAACATTTTAATTTTAGCAGAGATACTGAGAAATAGAGATCTTTTTTTCTGAGGCAACACCCTTAAAATTACTCTCTAAGGCACAGTTTCCTCATTTGTAAACTAAGAGGTTGGAACAGGGACCAGTGTATTTTATTCTTTACTGAGGAAAATTAAGAGTTCTTTGGGAAGCTGTCTCAGAAGGAAAGTGGATGGAGGCTGGATTAGGTATTCCAGTACTCCCTGTCTTCCTGACTTGTCTCAACTGGACTGCTCTGCTTACATCTGTTTAATATACTGGCATTTTTTGATACAAACATTTGCCAAGGTCAATCGCTAAAGTAAAATTTGGGGAAGAACTATTGGAATAGAAGACCTCTAAAATCCTATCGGGAATGATGAAAAAGAGAACTATCAGCAGAAGAGGGGGTAATGAAAGGAAAGGAAGGAATGATTGATCTGTTAGTTCCTAATATATATTCCTTTGTTATAGATTCTTTGTTGGCCATTTCACGTCTTAGGAATATAACTTAAGGCTGTATCTTTTTCCATTTTTGGTGATTTGCAAAATCTGATTTTACTTAGTCACCTTTTGTTCATTGGCCTATATTTAGTTTATATTTTAGGACGCAGATTTCACATGTGTATTACCATAATAATAATTTTCTTTACATCAATTCCAATTGAATTAGAGCACATGAAATACTTTTATGCCTTTTAATAATAAACTTATTAAAACTGTAAGGCTGGATTTTTATTCAAGTGATTGTCTCAAACTTTATAAGGATTTCTTTATCTGTGGTTATATCTATCCTGATGGCCACGCTGGTCCAGCTGTCCTTATATGTACATAAAGGATGTGGTTTTATGGAGTGGTCTCTGTAAAAAGATTAAGCCCATGGCTTTGTCCCTCCCCTACTAAGAAATCCTTCGTAACTAATTGCTTGCACGGTAAGGACCAGACTCCTTGGCATGGAATCCATTGTTCCTCTCCACATAACCTCAGCTAGTCTTTCCAGCTTTATATCCTGCCATAACTCCCTATTCCCACTCCCACACATCTAACTTCTAGCAACCTAGAATGTAGTCTCAAGTAAATGATTTTTTTTTTTGAGTTGGAGTCTTAACTCTGTTCAGTCCAGGCTGGAGTGCAGCCACCGAAGCCTCAACCTGCTGGGCTCAGGGGATCTTTTCGCTTCATCCTTCCAAGTAGCTGGAACTACAGGCACACGTCACCACGCCCAGCTATCAAGCAGATCTTTTTGTGTCAGAAATTCTGTCTGAAATACCAACCCTCTACTAGTTAAACTCACATTTCTATCCCAATGGAATGTCACCTCTTCTGTGAAACTTTGACATTTTTAGGGCAATTTAATTTGTCTTTTGTATCCTACAAACTTACTATTTTGTATGTGTCCCTCCAGCTAGATAGCACTCTCCAGCACCTAGAGGAACCTATTTAAAAAGCATAAAGCACAAAATAAATAATTGTTGGGGGAGTGAATGCATTACTATTCAGAAAGAACCTAAACAAAGGCTACCATCATTTAATTGACACGAATCAATTTTTATTTTTAAATTTATTCTTTACCAATTATTTTTTTCTTCTTTTTCAAAGTCTTCAAGTGTTGGTGACTTAGTAGGAATATTTGATTTCTTTTACCTGAAATAACTGAGTCAGGACACCAGAGAAAGGATAGTATATCACTTGGACACATCAAACCTCTGGGTACATGTGTGACACCAATGTTCCTGGGATGTGTGGTTTGTGATTATAATGTTGTGGTTACGTTATTACATTCCAGCTCCCACCCAACCCCCTCAGGCTAGAATGTGAGTCGAGTCACACATTTTACTGTGTGATATAGTGGGGAAAGAGAATGGGTCCTATCAGGCCATCATTTTTCTCAGTGGTAAAACTGGGAACAATATCTATTGTATTAGTAAGGGTTCTCTAGAAAAACATAGCCAATAGGATATGTGGGTGTTTTTCTACATGAGAGAGATTTTTATTAAGGAAGTGGCTCATGCAATCATGGAGGTTTAGTAAGTCCAAAATCTGCAGGGTAGGCCGGAAGG